AATGTGCATTGCACTTGCTATATCAAATAGAAATCACAAGTTGAAGAGACACAGTATGGAAATGAGATCATAGTTTGGTGGTATCCTCCAGTTTTGCAGACTTACACTAAGGCCAAGACTGTAAAAAGATCAAGGTTAAAGAAAGCAAGTGGAATGAGCTGCTTTAGAACCTGAACTTGAGTAACATCCTTAATCCCATGAATAGTTGATAATTAATTTTGTTGTATTTTTTTATATTGAGGGAACTAAACACGAGGAATCAAAATGAAATAAGTGCATTGAAAATTGAGTCAGATTTCACAATGATACAACAAAAGCAGTAAATCAGAATTATATATACAATAAGCTTTTAGCATAAAATCAATATTAACTGAATTGATAATACATTTGCCATTCCCTTTATTTTTAATTACAATTATAAAAAATATCTTTTCATTTGAGATTTTTAACTCTCAGTTGCTTCATGCAACAGGTTTTTTTTGATACTGGAATGAAAATCAAAGATAGCCTTACTCAAAGTATCATCTACTTTTTCAGTTTAATACCTATAACTGCACCTGCTTGAAATTAATCCTAAAAAATATTTTTCTTTTTTTTTTTTTTTTTGCATGTACAGTTATTTGTTAGGCTTTAAAATATAACTTTCTAAAAGGGTTTTATCTCCACTGCTACTAAATGCAAACATTTAAGTTTACTTTATTTGAAGTCATTTGAAGGACATACATCAAATTCAATGAAGGAATGTTCATAATAGGTTAAAACCATACATGAAAAAGAAATATATTTTTAATAGTATATTTGGCATAACACTGGATTCTAACAAAGAGGAATCCTCAGAAAGAAAATCACATTTACTAAAATGATACACTTCTATATTTTATAAGTAACATTAAGTTATATGGGTTAGAGCAGAGTTGTCAATTTGGTGTATTTGTGTGTAAAATAGAGAATGGGAGCTATTTTTCTGCTGTTCGTAATAAGTAACATCATTATTATATGTCTGAATGATGATACATATCATTGTGTAAAAGTTTGCATTTTCAAAATTGTCTGGAAAATTGCCCATGTACATTGTATAAACTGAGTTTACAGAACTGAACACATCTATGAATGTAGGCAGAGGACTAATAAAGAGCCTGGCCATGTGCTTAAAAAACTTCAGTCAATGTGTTTCTGCCAGATGAACAAAAAGCATGGAAAATTTGGAAGATTTTGGCTCATAACACAAATTCCTGTAGTATGTATTTATTCTGTGGAACACAGGAACAGTAAGAGGCTGTGGAAATCTGAACTGATTTATGTTTGCCACTGACATCAATGGAAAGAGGATGGAGTTTAGAATGTCATGTCATCAGGCAGCTTTCTAAGGCTCTTAAAAATTCTTATCGTTGCTTCCCAAGAGTATTTCCCTTTCACCTTAGCAAAACTACCATATAAGGGCCAGAAATATTATTGCATAGTCATGAAATAGTATAATGATAGTTGAATGATATAATGCAGGTGTATATATTAGACAGAGAAGAAATGTGATGGAAAAATTATATGTACCTTGCAAACATAGTTTTGGTACTACTGGTGGAGGGTGTGTCTGTGTGATGATTAGCTGGAAAAAGCTTTTATTTCCCTGATTTTCCGTTCATATGTGTAACAGCCACTTCACAATTATTTCTTTCCAAAAAGCACAGCAAAATAAATCAGCCAACCTACCATCTTTTTCTTTTATCTGTCCTTTTCATGTTTCTTTTGAAATTTTACTCTTTACATGTAACTACTTGAGCTCATTTAAAAAAAAAAACACAGTAATTTGCTTACCAAGTAAGGGGGATTTTCAATTAATATTTGTTATCCGTTCATAAGATCAATATTCTTTGCCCACAGTGAGAGCAGACTGTTAAGAAGGAGATAGTTCTGCTTTTAGCAATAACATAAATAGTATAACGGACTTCTGTGTCTTTGTGTCTTACTTTAGCAGGAGGTAATGGAAGAAACTAATTGATAATCATGTTTTAATTCACCATTGAATGAAAACTAATTTTTTCACAAAAAGTAGGTTCAGTTACATTTAAAAAATTGATTATGTAATGGGAAAGTTTTAATTTACTGATGTACATGGGAAAACAGATTCCTAACTTACTATTGCATGCCACATTAAGACATTTAATTGACTGCATCACTGGAAGAAATATGCTTTTGAGAACATTCAATATTGACAGTATTCTGAAGAGTTGCTAATTTTCTCTCAACAAATGTTCTTTTCTGGAGAGTGAATGGTATTTGTTTTTTCTGCCAGATCCTCCTTGGTGTTGCTTTCACAGAGGTTTTAATACACAAATCAATATATTTAATGATTCTTCACATATCATATATGTTTATGATACCAAAGAAGGAATCTTTAGGCATTTCCTCAATCTCTACTCCACTTTTGGTTGAAGTCTCCTGCATTTTATGCAGCTTATATATGACTGGACTTCTGTCCTGCTGCATTCTAGTTGCAAGAGAAGACCTTTTGCTGAAGCTGGGAGTTTTAGGATGTAAAAATTTGTATTCAGACTGTCCAATTTGAATTTGATGCTCAGTTATCAAAGCATTAATATCCTGTGTATATACTGGGTCTGTTGCAATGCAAGACCTTCTGGGAGAGGATTTCAGAGCGGCCCAAGGGAAGAGAGCTGCCTGCAGCTGAGTCCTGCTTGTGTTTGCTGAGTTCTGCAGTTTGATAACCACGCTGTGGTTTTAAGCACGTCTTTGTGTACCCTTTGGGAGCTGACAGTGATTAGTCTGTCCATCCTGTCCTGTGTCTCTGAGTCAGCAGCATTTACTCATTGTCTTTTGTCCTTTGCCTCTCAGCTGCCCAGCCTGTGTGTTGTGAGGAGTTTCACACTGGTGCATTTATGTACTCTCTAATAAAGTCTCAGAGGGTTTTTTTTAAAAAAAAATCAGTACAGTTTCAGTTTAAAAATATTTTCTAAAACCAGAGGCAGGAAGTATAATAATGTTTTAATTAGTGAATGGATTAAAGAAGAAAATTGGGGGAGAATGAATGAGGATTATCTTGGGAGTTTGGGTAGGAGGTTTTTAGTTTTTCTTTTATTATTTTTTTTATTCATAATGCTTAGCGCATCACAAACAGTATATGAATTCATGGATCCTTGCATTTTAAAAAACTACAAACAGACAAATCCTAACAACTCTTAAGTCAAAGAAAGCAAGCTATCATCACCAAGTAAATTATGTTCTGGTTGGTAGTGTATTTTTTTGGTAGTATTTAAAATCTTTCTACACCACTTCTTGTTTTCTTCATTCTCCTATAAGCTTCATTCTCCTATACATATCAAAGGATGAAAATCGAATTCAATAAACCAACAATAATTGATAAACACTATTCAAAAGTGTAAGAGAGGTTGTACCTTATCAATACATAAGGACTTCTTTCCTCCTAACAGAAAGGAAGCATTGCCTTTGCCATGTAAATTATGTCTGTCTATTACAGAGGAGCTATCAGTTCAGTGACTCAATTTTTACTATTCCATAAAGTTGAAATAATTTCCTTTAATTGAAAATATTAGAATTACTTTTCTTATCCGAAAGTTGCTTTCTGTAGAAAAGAACATCTGTAGATGTCTGAGCAGATTTTTTTAAAAGTTACTTTTTTTTTTTTCTTTGCACCCAAGAAAATAATTCAGTCCTGTTCTTCCAAGAAATTAAATTGCAGGGAGAGGTGAGGTACCCAGCATTATGTAGAATTATGCTCAGTGCAGAACACAATGTTTCACACAAATAATTCTGTATGCACACAGTATTACTTGTGGGAAAACAACTGCTTAAGTTTGAGCTAATGAATCATTCAAATATACACAATGAAAAAGAGACCAGTCTACATCAGTATTCCCTAGTGTGGACATATATATCTATATATATGTGCGTATACATATATTCCATTTTGTAGGTAATAAAATGCAGATTTAATAGTAAATCTTAAAAATAGTTTGTTAAGCATAACGCGTCATTTTACTGATGTAGATCATGAAAAATGTCAGTATGAAAAATTCTTTTTACTTGTTAGCTTCAAATTCTTTTCTTTAAACAACAGCACTCAATTCTTATATGTGAAGGGAAATATGGCTTGCCAGTGACTGTTTAGCACTGTATAAGAAACTAATGAATATAGACTGTAATTCAGCACTCATAATTGTGTTCTGGAAGTTTTAATACTAATGATGAAAACTGTTACAGAAAAGTTAATTGCTTCTGTAAAGGGTGCAATCAGTTTTAAATTTGGTCGGTTAGATAAAAAAGCTTGCTGGTTCTCAAGACACCTCTGTTATTCAATTTCCAGGTAGATTAGCACCCGTGTTTTCCACTTTGAGACAAAGTATGTTCTTTACCATTTTTGACAAGTCCATAATAGATCATGTGACTGGTTAAACAGGACATGTAATGAGGCTGTCTGTAAAATACAGCAAGATAACAAAATGTAATTTAATTAACTTATTTTTGAAAGTATATCTAATTTATTTAAAAAATATAATAATCTAAAGTGGGAGCTAAAATATCAAGTTAAGTAAAAGGAACAAATTTCTTGACCCTTTAAATAATATGATTAGTTCTCACTAATCTGATGTTTGTTTGATTCTAGACTAATTGACCTAAAGAAAATGAATACTTGTGGAAAAGTAGTATAAAATGATAACCTCAGTGTAATTACCAGAGTAAAAGAGGGAGAAGAGTTCTACCTGAAATCACTGTTCTGTCATTAGTCTCTGCCCTACATAAAGTTCATGACTCTTATGTACATTAATATGTAAAATTAGTTTTATAGATAAATTATATTGATATCAAGATGACACCTGGTATTTTAAGTTTCTTTCAAGATAATTCATCTCTTCAAGTTTAATCACACTTGTTGCAGATATCTTCAGATTATTTGTAGATCGAATTTTTGACACTTCTGCACTTGCCAAGTCAAAAAAATTAACATCACAATTTTGCTTTATTTGCAGCATCTGGCGAGGACCAAACATAAACTGCACTGACAGTTCAGGTTACACTGCTTTACATCATGCAGCTTTAAATGGACACAAGTAAGTTCCTCACATTTTGTTTTTATGTAGAATGATATTTAACTGTGTAGCACAAGAAAATATAGCATAGTTCTGAGATCTGTACCAAAAATCAGTAAACCTTGACTTACTAAAAAGCTTTCTTTCCAAGTGGAATGTATTAATATAAGATATTTTGACAGTGTCATCAATATCAATAAGTAGTAATGACAAATGGGAAATGGAGTTTCAAAGCTATTGATTCTATGCTGCTTCTTCCAAATTCTTCCTCAGTTTTGGGGAAATGTAGCATTGTTGCTGCTAGTCTTTGCTCTAGTGCTTTTTCATTGCTGGGAAATCGCAGCAGAAAGTATTGTGTTATATTTCTGTATGTACATAGATATAGGAGTGAATGTTTCAGGAAGCAGTTTTATGAAACAAAGAACAGTAGAGATTAATTGTTATGAAAGCAAAAGTAACGTGAAAAGACTCTTTAGTAATTAAACACTTTAAAAGCAGGAAAAAAAGGGTATTTTTACTGAAGGGAATTTTGACATAAAGCTTTGGTTAGCTCCTCTGTGGGAAATAAGGAATTGATCCAAACACAGTGGAAATTAAGAGTGATCTGCATGAATTTTAATGTGATTTTGCACTGTCCATATAATAACACATGGGTATGTAATTATTATTTATTTTCTCATTGCACGATTTTTGCATCCTTCTATGGAAAAATTAAAACTTTAGGATGTGTCTTCAATTGTATTCTAGAAAGGTGCCTATTTTCTTTAGGATGGATCAATCTTTTGTTGAATATGGGATATTCTTTCTAAATAAATATATAAAGTAAACTCTTGAACTAGATATTGTGCATTTTCAGCTGTGTAGGAAGATGCAGAATCATCCATTAATATGTTTTGACTTCCATAAAATTAGGTCTGAGTTCTTAATATTATCTGGTAAACTTAGGATTTTTGTTCCCTGTTGAGGTGAACTCTCTGCGTTTGGAGACACAAGGCTTGATTCCATTTTCTCAGAAGGCTGATTTATTATGTTATATATTATACTAAAATACTACATTAAAACTATACTAAAAGAACAGAGAGAAAAGATGATCAGAAGGCTACAAAGAACAGGAGTAGAACAGAATGCATAACAAAATCCTGTGACTGCTCACAGCCTTGGCACAGGTGGCTGTGATTGGTCATCAATTGAAAACAATCCACATGGACCAATTGCAAATGCACTTGTTGCATTCCACAGCAGCAGATAGTTATTGTTTACATTTCTTTCCTGAGGCTCTCAGCTCCTCAGGAGGGGAAAAAACCTAGGAAAGGTTTTTTAATAAAATATCATAGCTACAGTTCATGATTTATGGATTGTTTCTTGTGCTGTTGCTAATTTTTGAGCAACCAAACCCCAAGCATTGTCTTGCAAAGATTTCTGATTTTAAATAGATGAAAACTGCCTTTAGTATATTTAATACAAGCTATATGGTAATAGTTACACAGAAAGTTAAAAATATTGCTGTATAAACACTGAAACTATCAGAGGTTTCAAGTGAATCCTAGCAATATAAACTATAAAACCCCCAAACACACAAAAGTCAAATGATGATTTCAGAGACAGTATTGACGAAACTTCTTCCAAGGTTGGGGAGGACTTAAAAATGTGGACTTATGTACAGCAGCAGATATAACTACAGCCTTTGGAAAGTCCAGGGTTGGCTGCTATGACCCCTTACAGTAGGATAAGTAGCAGTAACTGACATCACAATTATGCCTTGTTATATTAAAATAAACTGAAATACATCATGAGGTATTTTGTGATAAATCATGAGGGTTTTGGGACCTCTTACCCCAGCCGTTATACTGATCCTGCTGCAATGGTAGTATGGCCAGCAAGAGAATTGGACAGACACCTGGTGGTCCTAATTTTGTTAGTCATCACAAATAACCAATAAATTATTTTACACTCTATTTGAATTTTCAGACTTGATACTCAAAGTCAAAATGGCATGCAATCATTTGACACAAGAATCTGTCCACTTAGGAGAAGTTCCTGTCCTTTAAAAACTTCTTGGATTTTAATTTTTCCCACTTTACATTAGGTTTAACGTGGGAGATTTCAGAGTTTGTCAAGAAAAGTAAGAACATAAGAATTTGTTGGTCTGGAATACTTGGACCATTGTTCAAATACTTGCTTATCACTGAATGTGATGAATTCCCTCCTTCTTGATTATTCTGGGATAATTTTCTTTCTTTTTGAAATGATTCTGCTTTACATAAGTAATTAAATAATATCTGGGGCAAGCACTGGAATCTCAGTCTCCCTAAGTAATTTCACTTAGCCCAGTAATGTTACTGGGCTAAGGACTTTCAGTCTTCTCTCTGAAATGTATTTCATAAAATGAAAAGTTCTGCCAAAGCACTAAAAAAGACTCACCCTAGATAAGTGTGATGGGTCAGGGCATTCTTGAAGGATGAAGGAGATGCATGTTCTCTTTTGTAACTTGAATCTCCCAATAGATTCTTCCAAAAATTCCTGTATGTTGTAGTCTATAGATTTCATCTGTGCTGAGCTTTTCTTCTGATTTTCTTCCACTTAGTTGAGTTTATGCTTCCTTTGTCTGGTGTTCCTTTCAAAGGAACTACTGTTATGTCTAGCTCTCATTGGACCATTTACTGCAAAACTATTATTTAATAGGAAGTCTCTCAAACCTTATGTGTACTAAAAAGTTTCCCTCAGGAGTCACTTTTCTGGAACTTCTTGTGTAACAGAAATCTTTCTGTAGTGGACCTGCTATTTTTTGTCTGTTCTCATGGCATTTGACCTTGTCAGGAGTAACCAAAATCCAGCTAAAATTTTTCTCAAAGCTTAGGTGTGATGACTCCAGTATCTTCTGAAGTCAACTGGCAGTTTCTTTTGAGCTGGATATATTCCCTCAAAGCTCACCACATTTTTCTTTCAATATGAAACTAAATAAGGTTCCATCAAGGCTGGAAAAATAATGGCCTTAGATTTATCTTCTGTCTTAATTTATAGTCAGTTTGTAGTTATTATTTTTGTAATAACATAAGCTACATTGAGCTCTCTCCCCTCACTGTTTTTTTTTGAGCCAAATCAGTAAGTTGGTGTCTCCGTATTTGTAAAAAGTGTTCATAGAGCTGCCCACACTGGATCATAGATTCTCTTAGCTTAATAACTAATGAGGCCAAACTGTGTCAAACTATGAGACTACAAATGCAGCAGTAAGACAGAATTTATTTACTTTCTGACATACTTGGTAATGTTATCATACCACACAGCTGATTTTTAGTTCAGCTTTTGAAGTTAAGTACAGGAGACTGCTTAAAAATCAGGGATGCAATATACCAACGTATGCTAATTTTTCACTTAATGTATGATAAGCCACACCAAAAGGAATATAAAGAGAATTAAAATGGTTATAAGTCACTTTTCACCTCTCTGCTACAAGGCAGCTGAACGTGGGAAATGAAAATAGCAGTTTTTTCATAGAAGTTATTTCATATATCTAGCTAGATCATAATTAAATTGTTTCCTGACTATCTTTGAGATAATGACTTAAAGAAGAGGAAAGACTATTGCTAAAGCCTTATGGTAAGAAATGTGTCCATCAAACTATCCTCTTGTCATCTTGCCTCCAGAATTCAGCAGTGATGGAGACAAGAGTACTTCTCTGCCTTTAGTGCCTTGAGGGACATGCACATGTTCTGTACAGGCAAATTCTAAAAAAGATTTGGTGGCCAGGTGATCCTATTGAAAGAAACAAATCAAGATCTGATGATAATATTGTTGGTGTTCATAATAAGTAAGAATCATTACAAGTAATGGCATTTTGTCTGTGTTTCAATATCTGTTTCATTTTCAGAAATTGTTGGTCTTCACTTCTTGTAGCTGTTTCACTTGAAACACAGGCTTGGTTTTTTTTTTTTTGTTTTACAGGATAAAAATATTGGTCATATGTATGTTCATGTGAAAACTTAATAAAATTAGCTTCCTGTCGATTTTTAGATTTACCTCCTATTTTCCAGGGATATAGTTCTCAAATTACTTCAGTATGAAGCATCAACCAATGTAGCAGATAATAAAGGTTACTTTCCTATTCACTTGGCTGCTTGGAGAGGAGATGTAGATATTGTGAAGATTCTCATCCATCATGGACCATCACACTCCAGAGTGAATGAACAGGTAAAGTGGTAAAAAATATTTGTGTGCATCATCAGAAAAAAAAACCAAAAACCCAGCACATATTCTTTTGGGTCTGACCAATTTATAGACAAGTTAAAAAAGGTCTATTTTTCATTGTTTCAGTAATTTCTTCTCAAAGATTGATAAAATCTTCTATTATAAGCATACCCAATACCTCCTTCTGAATAGGCACTGACTTAAAGAATATTAGATTTAAAAAGTATGGAAAGACTTTGTTTGTTTTGGAAAGTTCACATGAAGGCATACTCTAACTTTCCATCTTTTCTGTATAGGTGTAAATTTGCACAAACTGTGTATTTTTTACTCTATTAGATACTAAGTTCCTGAAAATATGTGAGATAAAATTAATGTCCTTAGTACATTTTAAGAGTACTGTAAATAATCAGATATGCAGAGGTAAATGACAAACCAGATGGACTGCATGGATACCCATGCAGCAGAAAGGACACATAAATAGAAAAAGACCAAGAAAAAATCATGGGAGTATTACTGTTGCATTCTGTTGTCAAACATATGGTACACCTTCTGTTTTTATTCTGTATATTCTTACGTGGTCCATTCATAGGATTAGTGCTTAGAAATAGAAAGAAGCTGATTAAAATTTGACTGAGCTGCTTGAGAACTGGAAGTAGGCTGTGAAATGCAGATAGTAACCATTAAGCAATTGCATTTGCTAGGGTAGTCAGAGTTGGAATGTGAAGGTGGGAGCCAGCTCCTAATTCAGATCTAAGCTATAATGTCTGCGTTGCCTATATGTGCACCTTCTGGTTCCACAGAGGTGTGGGCTGTGTAGTCACAGGAGCCAACAGGGCTATTCAGGTGACTAAAAGGGGGATTCAGGTAATGCAGTAATGCAGTATCTTCTGAGACCGTGCAGTACCTGAGACATCTGCGTGGGCCTGAGGGTGTGACAGAGGGTGCTCAGAATTTCCAGGTCCTCGTGGAGTGAGTGGTGAAGTCCAGGTATGGTCCCACTTGGCACCCCAGAGCACCTCAAATGGCAAAGTGCAATCTAACAAATTAATTGTTCTTAGTGTCGACATTAGTGTGGCCAGAAGGCAAACTGTGAGAAGATAAGAAATGTGAGACCTAGATGACAAACAGTTAACCAGGCTATTTGATATATCAAAAAAGTTAACATATCTATTTGATATCCGAGGTTATACACATAGCTACTGGAATCCGTAAAATAACTAAGATATGAGTATCAATACTAGTGCAGGAATTATAGGAAAGTGAAGTAATAAAATATGTCCATGTGACAGTCTTCTGTAAAATCAGAATGTGTCAGAGTATTACATCCTGTAATACTCTGACACATTCAAGAAAAAAATGATACTCAAAATTTGTCATTCTGTGATTTCAGTTTCAGATTAACATAATTCTCCAACTTTCTCATTCTCCTCAGCTGTTTTATGTAGGATGAAACTAGTTGAACTGTAGGATTACCCTTTGTCAAGGAGAGGTTTTTTCAGTTTTATTTATGCAACAAAACAAAAAGCAACTATTGAATCACGTGTCCTGTATTTGCATGAAGACCTTATGTATGTTCTATTGACAGAATACTGGAAGCTGTGTAGGAACTCCTGGGAGGGTGAGAGTCAGAAAGATATTTGAGTAAGATCAGAAAGAGAAATGTAAATTCAAACCTACTTCTCCCCAATCCCACATATATCCCCAGACTTCTAGAATATTGTCAGACTTGATTAGGTGTGCTGTATCTGGTTTGATCACTGGAGCAAATAAGCAGGGATGCAGCTTATACTTCTAAACCCCACTGATTCAAAAAAGGTCCTCAGATGTCCTCCTGTTTATGTATTTAACCCAAAAACCTTATAATAGAAAACATGTGAGCAATCCTCACAAGAAATGTTGCATCTTAAGTCTTTTAAGGGAATCTTGAGCATATCAAACTTTGAAGTTAAACTCATGTATACAAAGTTTTTCTGACCTTGTAAATTCCTTGGCGTTCCACTCTAGACAATGGCCAGGTTTATTATGTGGGCTACTTTACTGGCACCAACTTCCCCCTGCTAATTAGCACTCAGTGCAGGAGAATAGCCTTTGTATCCCAGAAAGAGGGAATGTTGTGTTACAGAGGCACCTCCATCCACATATCCTCAAATAACCCCTGAGAGGCATCCTCACCCTGACACCTGTTGTGTGTTCTGTGAGCCTGTAGGATTCTGAGGCTTTTGCTTATTTGCAGATAGGCTCTGTAAGGCAGGTGATTCCTCAATGCTCTATTAACTTCTCTCTGGAGCTGAAGCTGTGGCTTGTAAGAAATCCTGGATTACTTTTCTTTCCTTTTTCTTCAGAGAGCTGGAGATAAGGACAGCCATTTTTCATTGCACTTTTTCACCACAGCAAGTAGTGCACTCAAGTCAGACTTCTTTCCTCTGCTTTTGTTGTTGGTGTTTTTTTAAGCATCACATGAAGATGTAATTGTTTGCATTTTAAGAAAATAATTTTGTTCATGATTTAAAAGTTATTCCAACTAATTTGTAATATATTTTTATTTTCATGTACCTGCTTGGAATTCTGTGTGAGAGAAATGAATAAAAGAACTTATGGGAAAGCAATGGATGACTGAACAAAGAAATAAATGACAAGTTCATGATGCATAAATGTATATTAGATGCAATAATGGATTTTATATGGTATATTGTAAATTGATCGAACTGCATTCTACACTTTCAAAATGCAGTTAAGTAGCATCATAGCATCATATGCAACCATATCCAGCATCTAAAGCTCTGAATGCCCCCTGCTGTTCCTATTACATAAAATTGGAACAAAGAGTAAAGAGACAAACAGTTAAATGACAATTATATTATGGGGGTGGTGGAATGTAGACTGGCAGCTCTACACACCGAGAACAGTTACAGCATAACAGTTATGTAAGAAGAATTCTATCACTTAATGTAGGAGTCTTAGTTGACAGGCATGGTGTATGTTTTAAATCACAAAATATGGTGACGTTGCAGAAATAGAAGTGTTTAACTTCATTGATGAAGATTTAGAATTATGTAAATTATAAAAAGAATTAAAGTAGTATGAGATCAAAATTTGTTCATTGATAATAAAATAAAAAGGTGTGTTGTTAACAGATAAACTACTTACAATTTATTTCTGTAAAACAGATCTGGATAGCTAAAACATTTATTGTGGCAGCTTTCATCATAAAATTGCAAAATTGATAACAAATCCTAATCTATGAAAAAAATGGTTAATAAATAACAGCCACATACAGGTCAACATGCAGTATTTGGCTTTTTTTCAGGGAAAAATGTGAATAACATAAGGCATAAGTATAAAGATCTTATGAAATATGAATAAAATATATTCCAATTATATATATAGAATAGGAATTGTGAAAAATTTACAGGAAAAAATGTGAACACTTCTGAAATTTTTGTGGATTGAGTGTGCTGTAGAATTTGCCTGTGCATCAAATTGTAATTGCCACAAAACCCACCCACATTTCTTTAAAACTATTCAACAATTCTTCTGAAATATGAAGAAAGAGTCCAGGATGCATCCATATGATGTAAATGCCTAAATTTAAACATATTTGCCAACTTCTCCAAATTATCCAAATGAAACACAGACTTCTCTCAGTGGCACATCATGAACTTCCAGAAGTTCAATTCAGTTCCAAAATAGCCTGCAAAACCAATATTTTTCAAGTTCTGCATTTGATTTTACCCCTCAATTCATTTAACACTAGTGTATGAATTTCAGAGTTTCTCTTGCAGCTCTTACTATATTTTATTTAGAAGGAAAAAAAGTGCACACACAGTCTTTCTGATTTAAGCCAGCTGCAACACTAAATTAGAAAAAAGGTTTTTTCAAAGTAGTCAACCATATTGCATTACTTTTTTATCATGTTTACATAAGTAAAAGTGAATTTCAATGGGAAGTCAGTAGATTTGATTTAAATTCACACTGAGTAACTCGCAGACAAACTTCTTTTACAGAGTTATTTACTTCTTGGTGGAACTTCTCAGGAAACTGTCTTCCTGATTTAATATATAAAGTAAGACCATCCCGAGGTCATTCCTTTCTCTGTCTTGCATATATTCTTTCACTCCTTTTTTCTCTATCTAATTATTTAGTTATTAAAGCCTTATTTTTGTATTGTTTTTCTTCTAGTTGACTACTTGTGAATATATTCAGCATATAGATAGGTGTTTCCAGAATTTCCCATTTCCTCCTCCTTTTTAAATTTAAATTCTCATTTCATAATAGAGAAAATAGCAAGAAGCTTATAAAAACAAATGTCTTGTTGACTTACTCTACTTTGGGATTATGTGACAAAGAAATGGCCCAGTGATATACGAAGTCTCCTTTTTCAAGTTCAGCATCAAAACACACAGATAAAAAAAAGGAGTTGAGCATCCTTTGGAAAGGTCTGTTAAATCAGTACTTGAGTTATTATTGCTTGTACAGTACTTGCACGGACTTTAGGAGATTTAAAACTTGCTTGGCAAAGAAAAAAGGACTTCACAGCTATACAATAAATGTCCTGAATTTACCCACAGTTTAATCGTGGCTTCACAAGGGCCTTTATAATATTCATGATAGCCATTCATTCTCTTGATACTTCCTGTACTTCTTCACTATCAGACTGCCGAGCTACAATAACTGTCTCTATAATGTATTTTCTAATCTGCACTCTAATGAATAGACCTCAAGATAGATTGTACATTTTGCAGTGGCACACCTCCTTAGCAGCTAAATGATGTAGCACAGTCTGCAAATACTGATGAGATGCAGGGCTGTGAAGGCGCAGTTCAGTTGGCAGCCACACCAGCCTGAGTTCGGGCTGTCGGTGGAAAAGAAGAGATTCAGAGAAAGGCTACAAAAAATCAGGTTCATGCCCGTGAAATAACACTTGTAACAAATAATGAAAAAATTGAAAAAGGTTAAAAGCTGAATCATGGAATGCTTTCCTTATTTCTGAACAAGGTCCTTTGGACCATAAGAGTAACTACTAATAATAAAAATATTATTCATTAATATTAGATACTGTTTTTAAAATACTGTGTTTACATAATATTGGTCTACTCTTTTTACCTTACCTTGGTTCTTTTTACCTTTTTACCTACCTTCTTTTTACCTTTTACCTTGCTTATTTCTTGATCTTTCTTTTTCTAGAACCATTCAGGTGTAGAATCTGTCTTGTAGTTGCTAACATATCATGAAGTATCTGAAATTTTTACAAGGATTCTACGCTCTTTCTTCAGCACTAGATGTATTATTTAGCCCTTGGATATCAAATCTGAAGCTCTAATTACAGAATGGTGATTTGCATGGTGATATTTTTTTAGCAAATCACCTGCTCATTGCAATGACTATTAACACAAACTTTCTGTACTCCAGAAACAATTGTTTATGCTTGGAACTGAAAATACAGGCAACAGCACTAAATTATTGGTAATTTCTTGAAGAATTTTTTCACATTTTTAAAATATTACTTCAAAACAGTATGTGACTTTAGAGATATGAAGACAAACTACTTTAAAATCAATAGTCTCCTTTCCTCTCCATTCTAAGCTGATTTATTTTATATAAGTAGTACTAACTTGTCAGAGTAGATAAATTTAAAGGGCATTTAAACAAGTTTTAATTTACTCTTTGAAGGTTTAAAATATGTTTTGTTTTCTCTATCTGAATTGAATTTATTAATTTACATTTTGAAGAAGGAAGAATGCTTTACTATAAAGTTTTAATTAGGTAGTACCTCTCAGTTCTGATAACACAATATGTGCAATGCTCGTTCTGAGGACATATATGTAGGTAATTTAATTATCATGTTCACCCAGGTTGCATTCTTCTGCTTTATTTCAGTGGTATGTGGCTCTTTATAATTTTGTATCAGTTCAATTGATCTTGAACTGAAATGTAGCTTTTATTTGGCAAATAAAAAACCATAGAAAAATGTTCAACAATATACATCTGAAAATAATATTTTGCCTTTGTGCATCAGGCTGTTTTAAAATGTATCTTTTCAATATGCCTTTGGGTGAAAATTCAGCTGGATATTCTTTATCCAGAGGGAGCAGATTCCAGTTTGCTGCTCAGCAGCAGTGATTTGTACAGCTTGATGTCTATCTGTAGAGACCTGGATAGAGATCTCTGTGTCTGTATCTGTCTATCACATTTTGAGAAAAGGGCCACAGCAAATTTAACTTTTGTTTCTTTGAAAATTTAATCAGAATACTTTTAAGCTACAATATTAGCATCATTGGCATAAGATTTGAAATAGTTCAATTAGTACTTCCATAAGTTCTTGAAAAAAACACTCAGACATGAACAGATGTTGGACAGATATTTAATTGTAAACATCTATTTTGTTATTTACCTCCCAGAATGCCAATATAGTTACATGTATAACTTCTCTGTGTAACTATGTCCGTTGGACATATAAATACAGTAACAGTAGGCAAAAATTACCATGATTGTCCACTTGGTGTGCAATTATCTGATATTCATATTTAATTGTACACAAAATCAGGCTGCAATTGCCTGTTCATCTAGCTGTCCAGGAAATATTAAAAAATTAGAAATTAATTTTAGTAATCTGTGCTTGTGATTTATGGGTGTACAATTGTACATAAGAAAGTTGCTTTGCTCAGTCCTACTTAAAGATATCTTAGAAGTCACTAGAGCACAAAAAACTTGTTTCAGGTAGTTGATAGAACATTGCAGCAGTGTAGTATTGTGACAGTATATACATTTTAATCTGAATTTCTGGTCTGTGCCATAAAGAAAGCCCACACAGTGGTCTGAATAATGCACGATGATTTAAATACTTACTAGACATCAAGCCATGTCTGCCAGTGGAAGCTTCTCCACCTAGATCTTCTCCAGCCTCTGTGTTGCAGTTCAGCAGGAAACACACTCCAATCTCTCAGATCTTGTGTGGTGTTGCAGACACCCATGAGTTTGACTGCAACATTGATTTACCTGAATGTATTGATCTGTCTCTTCTGTTTCCCAAGTTCATCTGAGTCATCTTAGATTGCAAGAGATGAAAATGACAGCAGTGTTGTTAAAACCACAAACCCAAGAGTTGAGTTCTTGGTTACAGAATTAGAAACATCATTACCAAAAGACAAATCTTGCCTTTTCCTCCTTTCTAGTTTTTACTGTGCAACATGGATATTCTTATCCTAGCTAGCTTTTGAGTAAGAGTCCAAAGCCTCATTTCTCTGACTCTTTCTGTCTTTTAAAAGACAATTGTTTTTTTCTATTTTCAGTTCTCTGTCCCCTGAACTTCCTTCAGCTGTCTCCTTGAAAAATAGAACTATGGATTCAGATTTGACACTTTTCCTTCCTTTAGAATTATATATCTTCCCTTCTTTAGTAGCTTTTCTGAGTTTACACTAATCTTAATTTTTTATATAGCACATTAGCTTATTGATTTTGTACTTTTACAACATTCCTAAACTGTCACAATATTTTATAAATAAGTTATCAGAAGAGGCAGTCAATGTATATACTTGTACAATTTATAACATCTAGTGTATTTTAAAGCACTGTAAAGTCTGCATATGATATAGTAATAATGTAGATGACATATAGAATTCAGAGAGCTTCATAAACTATTTCCTTTGTCTTTGCCTGAAGTTATTTGTCTCTTTGCTGTTGCAAGTACACAGATGGAATTGGAAGGAAACAATTTAAAAATATAATGCTTATTCTCAATATTTATTATTAAGTTTATTGAGTAATATTTTGGGAAACACTTGGAGGGCATTGCTTTTATAAAGCAAAAACCTGTTCAGTCCACAGCATGCACATATGCCTTAAAACACATAGATACCTCTCTCTGGAGTCCTGAGAAGACCAACTGCTTAAGTGATTTGCTGAGTCTTTGTGTATTGCTGTCTTTGCTCTTTTGTCTTCCAAGTTTTAATTGTTGTTTGGATAGTAGCTTTTTATAGTGATACATGAAACTGACCTTGTGCCTGATACATTTGCACAGTTTTACTGCATAATTCCATTTCTCTAATAACAAACTGCTATGGTACAAAACCAGCAAAATCAAGAAAAGAGACTGTCAGAGTATTTTAAGAGAAGGACTCAATCATAATTTCAGGAACAGTTGAATCAAAGAAGGTTACAGATTTTGGCATATCATGAGGTGCAAGGTTTTGAGGGGCATGTTGTTAAAATGGATTGGGAGCAATGTAGACACATAGGGAGCTCATCTGCTTGAGAGTGGCAAGCTGAAGTATTAATGTGTTATTATTAAAATTTCAGCGGAGTAATTTTGAAGCATTTAACATATATTACCATACATTATGTTATAAACTCTGCCTCTGTAGTGATCTCACGGAAGCAATTTATAGAAGCTGAGCATTTCTGTTGTGGATTAAACATGAATTTCTGATGCTTTTGGATTTTTTAACAGAACAATGAAAATGAAACAGCATTGCATTGTGCAGCTCAATATGGTCATTCAGAAGTTGTTGCTGTTCTGCTAGAAGAGCTGACAGACCCCACAATAAGAAACAACAAACTGGAAACACCTCTGGATCTGGCAGCACTTTATGGACGTCTGCGCGTTGTGAAAATGATCATCAAAGCCTATCCAAATCTGATGAACTGTAATACAAGAAAACACACTCCTTTGCATCTTGCTGCTCGTAATGGCCACAAAGCTGTCGTGCAGGTGCTTCTGGAAGCTGGAATGGATGTCAGCTGCCAAGTTAGTGTGTAATTCCTCCCTTCTTCCCTCCCTTCCTTCCTCCCTTCCTTTCCTTCCTTCCCCATCCATTAGACTATGATTTAAATGAAATTACTTCTTACATTTTTTCTTTAAAATACACTTGCATTTACTTTGTTAGAAATGCTGCAAGGTGTCAGCTTTATTTATTACAACTCAATGTGTTAAAATGGATAACTCAAGAAAGATATATATCTTCAAAGCTGAGTGCGTGTTTTAATGTTGCCTTGAAACATGTAGATACACAAATCATATCAAGCATTCACATAGGTGTATATAAATATATTTTCTACAACAGTGGCTGTAAAGGTTGTAAGCTGATTTTCTAAAGCTGTGGCCCTTTGTGGTCACAGCAATCTAAAACAGTGTTTCACTGAGAGCTAATTTTCCTTTAACTGTTCCATTCTAAACTCAAGTTACTAAGTTTTAACAATTTTGATTTTCTGCATTTCTAAACACTTGTATAAATCTAAGAGAAAATTCTATAGCAATACGCTCTTGCAGCTACTGACTCCAACCTGTCAGCTCTTTGGTGCATCTAGCTTTGTGCACAGTAAGTTATAATGATGTTGAAGGGGTAACTTAAAATAAAATAGACATAGATGGGAAGAGACACAAGGTACAGCAGCAGTGAATTTTATGTTCAATTCTTTGTACTGGAAGGTGTCCAGGCCTTTTAACTACAGAGGGCTGGATTCTGTTATGTGTTCTGAAATGTTGCCTCAATCTTATGATTTCTCTCGGTTGATGGCACTGTGTTTGTTGTAGAGTGGATTTAATCTTCATCAATGGAGTAACTTCCTTGCTGTCTCTCTCTTTTTCACTGCATAAAATATGGTTTGAATTAAGGTTGTTTCAGGTTTATATCTATTTTCAGATAAAGCAAACAAGAAACCAAAATTAATTACATCTATTTTAGAGTCACATTCAGACATTCTCTGCCACCTAGCAGTTGGTTACAGCCTGCTGATAAAAACATCAAAGTTGTGGTTTCAATCCCTGTATGGGCCCTGGGCCATTCACTTAAGAGTTGGATTGATGATCCTTCTGGGTCACTTCCAACTCAGAAGATTCTGTGAACAAATCTTGCAAACTTTGTCTAAACTTTGATTAAAATTTATATCCGTTTTGAGCTTAAGGTGCATGAACTCCTTTATACACAAAATTCCCTTTTATATAGAAAAATTAGACCTGGATTCCATACTTTTATTTCTGGATACTTCCATCAAGATGATGTTTTTCAGCTTTTGAGAAGAAGAATGGGAAGTGGGGAAGAAAAGATAGATTTAAGAAAAAAACAAAGAAAATCAGAAAATATTAGTGTATTTTAAGATTAGAGGTGGATATTCTCAAGTGCCTTCCATGACAAAATGTGGTAAAATTGTTTTATTACTTTGATTACTTCTTGCATGTTTTGAGTTAGTATTGATATTTGCTTCAAACTATTTTAAAGTGAAACACTTTTGTGTGATTTGTCTGCTTGTGAATTTGCTGCCCATCAAGTTTTCAATTTAATTTGGTTTTGATTTTCTTTACTAGAAAAAGAGACATTTGCAAAGGTTAATGTAAGCAGCTCCTTTTTTTTTTTTACTTTTCCTTTGCTATTACATCTTCAGTAATTTAGAAAAGTTTAATGCTACAGCAACACAGAACTTTCAAATTCATATTTTTGAATGTATAATTTCTCTTTTATCTCTAACAAAAGAAGAAAAATTCAGAAAGAAACTGGTGCCTGAATTGATGTTTAAGAAATAGAATAATTGAAGGAAAATAGACTCTCTCATGGCAACTTACAAACTGGTGGTTACATGAGGGCAAAATATTACACAATACTTTTATGAAATGTGTCCTTCCTCTTATGTAATCTAGATAATTTTAGCACTACTGTGAGTTCTCCTAAGCCATTTTTATCTATAGTTATACTAAAAATTTTTCACTAGTCTTTAAAAAATACAGTGGCTGCAACATTTTAAGAAATGAAAGATTCTTTTAGTAATGGTGATCTTTTTGAGATCTACACTAAAATTACAGAGCTTACTTGTTTTCATTTTTTTTATTCTAATTGCTTTTAAGTGATTTATATTCTTAGAAATTTTTTTAGTTATTCAAAAGCAGGGATTTTTTTTCACTAAGTTATCTTGTTTCTTAGAGTTTTGTCCCACTTGCCATAAGGAAATATCATTTATTTATTTTTCTTGCTGGTATACATATTCTCTATCAATATGTTCCTTTTCATTTAGCGTCTTAACAAATTGGTAATTTGGCTCTGTACCTACTGTTAACTTATTACCTCTATAGCCTCTGAAAAATTTGTTGATGATTACTGGCAGTTTATTAAACTGAGGAGAACACAAAATATCAGCCTGTCACTTAAAACTAAACTCAACTATTTTGTTATTAATTAAATTGATCTGCATCACTGTTTGGGAAAGAACAATTTGCAAAGTAAAATCTTATGTGGTAAACAACTTTGCACACATTTAAACACGTTAAATAAATTCAATTTTTCACCAGTAAAGACCTCTCAGAATGTTTAGAGATGATTATAGGAGTAGCCTGTCTTGTATCACTCTGTAGTTGTAAAGATGAATTGATTTAAATGGGAGGTTTACTTTAGCCATCTTATCTTTCTCTTTTTTTACTCCCTGAGCACTTTTAATCACAGCAAAAATTTGCTGTGATTAATAATAATAATAAAAGAGAGCATTTAATTTTTGATTTAATTAATCGCACATTTTATTAATTTCCCAGGTCTATCCACTATCTTTCAATCTGGAATTATTTAGGAGTGAGCAATACAATTCTGCTTCCTCTCTTTTTGCTTTGGAGTTTTCATGTAAATTGAAACATAGGAGAAGTACACACGTTTTGGCTGAGTGATAGACTTTGGGCCTAAAGTAAATTAAGACACTGCACAGTTCAGTATGTTTCATGTAAACAGTAGCTTAATAATTACAAATACCCTAAAATCTTGGCCTCTTCTGTTTATCCATCTTTCATCTATCCCTATTTGCCTTCCCTGTCTGTTCCAATAATGATGGCAATTATCTGCTTATCACTGTTAGTTCTGCCAAAAGCTGTGCTCCTTCCTTTTTGCTGTCACTGTATATGGAGGGTGTTCTGTGAATCAATTTGCAAAGCTACATTCTGTCCTTCAGATTCTGTCTGAAATCCATGTCAGAACTATAGCAAACTGCTATGAATAAGGACTAGACAAGTGACCTAATTACAAGCTCTTGCATATTTACATGATTGAAGGAAAATCTGTAATTATTAAAACCCTTGATGCTTCTCTGTGAGCCTGCAAATTGTATGCCAAGTTGACCTGGGTATTCTGGTGTCCCTGTTGACAATGTCCTCCTGTCCTAGCTTGGTTATGTGTCCAGCTGTGACATTGTACCTGTATTTAGTAGTAAGCAGGGGCAGGCACTGTTTTATTATATGTTAAGCACAATTTGTGCTCTAGTTCTCTGTACTTCATATACAGAAACTTATGCCAGAGAACCAATATATTATCCACTGGTGCAAACTCAAGCAGACTTTAGCTCACTTTGTTCATGAAAAATTGCCAACAGTATTAAGTATCACTGGGAAAGAGTTTGCAAATATAATGGTAGTGTTTACTTTGCCAGGAAAATATGATCCAAGGCAATGAAAGTTTCAGGAAGTAAGGCAGTGAAAATTGTCTATAAATCTTAAGCTCACTTGCTGTAGTATAGACAAGAAGAATATATTAGTGCACAAGCACATTGTTATAAGTGAAAAAGAGCAACCTAAAGTCCTAGGACATCTTAAAGAATATGTAGAAATTACTTGCAACTATGTTTTTTTAATTGTTGTGATTTGTGTAAATGCTATAATGCACAAGAATAAAACATTCTGAACTTACTTCTACCTTGAGGTAGTAAGCACATGTCCGTTTAAAAAGAGAGATAGGTCTACTTAGCCAGCGTGAATTTCTCTTGGCCCTGTTCATCCTGAGGTTCAGCATTCCCTCTAAGTTAAAGCAGAGTTTTGTAACTGAACTGTCTGGTAACAAGGGCATTTCTGCCTTCTGGATAGTTTTTGGGTCGAGGGATCTGATTCACTTGTTAGTTATTCACTATTACCATGAAATCCTGCCTAGGGCTTTTAAGATTTGTGTCAGCATTCATCTCCATGACATCTTATGCAGGATTACACATCTGCATCTTACAAGTGTTCTTTCAATCTCCATATTCTCAGACTGGTTTTAGTTCAGTTTCATGTTAATATTTCCCCTCTTGTTCAGAAAATCACCTTTGTAGTGTACAGATCCTTGCACTGTTTATATGGTGTGCCTTTTAAATTCTTCTTTTGAACAAATTGTTCATAACATTAATCTCATTTCTGGAAAGTGACATTCATTACTATTGTCTGATAGCTCAGAGTTGTAAAGCACAGATTGCCCTAGAATGCAGGGCAGTGTGGAATGTCTACAAAGCATTTTAGGATCATGTTCTGATATGACAGGAAATATCATGGTAGAATAGACTAAGAAGCAAGAAAGTATGTATGGGAAAAAATGGCATTTAAGTTAGGATTCCTCTCCTATCTCTATGAATTAAAAGTGGGTTAAGTTCCTGTACTCCCTTTATGCATAGCAGAACTATCTTCTGGTTCTTAAGTTGCCCCCAGATAGATTTGTTTGCCTTACACATCTACAGGAAGCTCCTCTTCTCCTGTTAGTTTCAATTCAATTTCTTACAAGATGTGTGCTTTCATCAAGGAAAATACTGCTTACCTTTCCTCCAGTGGGGAATTTTGATGAACAGAAGGACTGCTGCCCATGCCAATTATCATATCAGGATCTTTTTCACCCTTTAACTGGGTAATCAGAGGATAAATCCTATTCCTTGTCCTCAAAGATGTTGATTCAGTATGCCAGAACATTGATCTTTCTCAGTCTCAGTTCACGGTATGGTTGTCACCAATGTAGTCCATTTTCTCCATTAAACAAGGATCATTATTAGTACAGAATGATATCTACAATTTTAGTCAAGGTGCAGCTGGTTTTCATCTTTGTGGTTCAATCTCATAGAAATAAAATTTAGTGCTCTGGCTTCCTCTAACAATTGAACCACTGTGGATTTCATTGTTGATATATACATCACTAATTCTTATCCTTGGCAGAATCAGAGCATGGTTGAGGTTGAAAGGGAGCTCTGGAGGTCGTCAGGTCCAACTCCCCCTTTGCAAGGAGAATCCCATAAAATAAGTTGCCCAGGATCATGTCCAAACAACTTCAGAATATCTTCAAGGACTGAGACCCTACAACTTTCCTGGACAACCTGTACAAGTACCAGGGCTCAGCTGCCTGCAAAAAGGAAAAAAAAATTAAATCATAGGTTCAAACAGAACCTACTGTGTTTCAGTTTTCCCCCATTATCTCTTCTGTCACTGGACATGACCAAGCCTGGCTTAGACTTCTTTATACCCTCCCTTCAGATTTTTGTACACATTGATGAGATCCACTGTGAGCCTTCATCTGTCTAGGCTAAACTGTCCCAGCTCTCTCTGCCTTTTCTCATAGAAGAGATGCTCCAGTCTCTTAACAATTTTAATGTCTCTCTCTGGTAGTTCCATCTCCATCTTTTGCTGAGGAGCCCAGAACTGACCAGAGCATTTTGGGTGTGGACCCACCAGTAGTGAGCAGAAGGGGAGCCACCTCCCTTGACCTGCTGTTAACACTCCTCCTCGATGACAGACAACTCTATCTTATTTGTACCAGGTCCACCCAACAGTCATGCCGGGAAGTGACCAATCCAAAGGAAATGCGATATGACACCAAGAGGATAATAGGCTTTTTTCAAGATTGCAGATGTCAAGCCTCTTTCAGTAATCAGAATGATAACTGTCAGTGACTTTTCTGAGAACTTTTCTCATTCCCAGAAATTTCTGAGCTGCACATTAATCTCTGTGTGTACCTCTGTGGTTGCACTGTCATTGCAGAGTCATCCCATTTTGGAGTCAATTGCACTAACTGGAAATATCCTGAAGGTGTTGTTTGAGTAAAGGATTCTGAAACCATCTCTAAGTAAATCTGCATATTTAGTCTTGATAAACCTGGGAATGTTCAACTGGATTGCTTCTGAGAATGGAAATATTAGAAGTTGTTTTGAGATTTGTGTTTCGTGTATATTTTATATATTCTCTTACTGACTTCCTTCTTCTCTCTGTTATGCTGTTAGTTTAAGTGGTGTGCAGGATGTAGATGTCATTGGGCATGCTCTACTTTTTACCTCCATGTACTGAGCAGCAGTAGGACATACGTACATTTACAGTGTGCTCACATCCTATCTCAGGCTCTCTGATTACTTATGAGTATCCTGTCATTGCATTGCTGTAACTCTGATGCATTCTGACACAACTAATTAATAATGAATTGCTATTTTATTTCAGAGTTGTGTTTTGTATGTGTGTATTTTTAAGGTCTTTCTACCATAGTAAGTATGACTTGGATAAAGTATAGAAAAAACAAATTCAAGCAGCAAAACCTTTAAAGTTTGTTACAAATCAATTACAAAATCTAATTTACTATCAAAAAAAAGGAGATAAATCAGATACTCAGTGAGATCTAGTAGTGCTCTAGCTAATGCTATTGGATGGAAAGTTATTCTCTTCAGATCTTTCAGTAACAGCAGTATAAAATACTAAGAAAAGTAGCTTGTTAAGAGTGTGTGTCTTTCAGTACTACAAAATTTATTTGAGCAAAAATCTGCTCACAAAGAATCTTGTGTCAAGACATTCTGCAAAATCAAGTTCACAGACATCTAAGTTAGAATTCAAATGACATGAGCATAGGCATCTAAAGCTGTTGGGGGTGCCTTTGGGTATCCAAGGCATCTGTATGGGGCAGATGTGAGGCATATCAAATGTGAACATCAACTGGGCCAGCAGCTGGACACCAGGATATCCTAGGGCATCTCTCACATATAACTGAATTGACCTTCTAGGGTGTGATCCAGTTTCACATTAAAACATCTAATTGTAGATGTCCACATGTAAACTATTACGCTGAAGAGCTGTGTTCCACTGATGGTGTTGACTAGATTTGCACTGCCTATAATAGAAATTTAGAAGTTTTACACAAATGCAGGCTTGTTAACAGGGAGCTGTATTCCATTCCTACTATATTTTCTTATATAGTTATTAATTTTATGGTCAACTGACAGCATTTTTGGTTTTGTCTTGAATAATAAAAAAATCTTGCATTCTAGTATTTATTCTTGCCTATTCAATTTTTTTTTTAATGCATAGGTAAAATAGAAGGGAAAAATATTTATTTTCCAAGTGTATTCTTTACAGAAAGATTAATTGGTATTTTAAATGTCACAATATTTCTTTTCTAGACAGAAAAAGGGAGTGCCCTACATGAAGCAGCCCTATTTGGAAAGGTGGAGGTAGTACGCATTTTGCTTGAAACAGGTAAATCTGATTTACAGGAAACACTGAACAAATACCCTTAATTTTCCTAATTTGGTGTAAGCATCCTTAACTTTTGGTTATACAAATTACTTTTATCTTTATCAGCCTTTGCATATCTAATCACATGTACTTCTCATTAAAACAGTGCTCTTTTAGAACAAGAAATTGCTATACACAGAGAACAAAGGTGATGTTCAGACTCAGAAATTCTATATATGACTCAGTGTATAAATGTATCGGATAAATGTATCATGAGAACAAAATGGCTACATAAAATTTCGTTATTTGCTCTGAAAGGCAGCCAGGAATATTCTTTGATGTAGAGACCAGAAGATTCATGTTCACATTTATTTCCTTCAGTTAGCTATTCCTAGCATATGCACCATTTTGCTTGCTTCTTCATTTCCTGAATAAACTGAGTGCCTGCAAAGAAAGGGGAAGGCACTTTGTCTCTGAGAATTGCATTTGTCCTGAAAGAAAAGAAGAACAGGGATATAAAGTCCAAACAACCCATCTACTGCATAATAAGTTTCAGAATTGCTGTAGGTAAATTACTCATCTAGACAACTGTCTTCTCAGGTAAGTAGTAAGACCAATGAGAATGAAAATTCTCAGAAATAATTTCTTGCAGATCTGTGAACTTCCATGACACTGAGGGATCTCACTGGTCTTCATTATCAGTTCTTGTGGTGTTACTTGTATATTGCCAAAGAAGATATATCCTAATCACAGCTCTTCATCTGAATCTCAACTGGTATATCCCTGATCTCAGACTTGTTTTCAGAAAAAAAAATGGTCCTTCTGAGTTGCTTCTCTGTTTGGATGAAAAACACGGAGGCTGAAAAGGGATCATTACCTGCCCTCGAAAAGGCAGGGCCTTTTTATTTCCTAAAAAAAGGAAGGACTGGAGAACATCACACAAACATAGGAAGCCCTTTAGACCACAGAAAAAGCCCACCTTTTTCAGATTAATACGTGTTACAGCCTCTATCAGCATACAGTTGTCAAGACAGTGGAGTAGAATCTTCACTGTGAACTCCTTCAACCCCAAATGCTCTGTACTTCTGCAACACTCCCCACCTTCTGTCTTTGGTACTCAATAGTCCCCTCTTTTCTAGTTCTGCTTCAAAAAGAGTCAGAAGATGTTATAAGTAGCCGCTACAAAGGAAAAATATGAGTTGGTGTGTCTGGCCTCTGAAAGTCAACTGCCACCATTAAATAGCCCAGTAATATTTTGGGTTTGTTTTCAGTGAGAAAATGTTGTGGTGCATGAAAATATTGTGTTTCTCACAAAACAAAGTAGGAGTTATGAAATTGCAGCCTTTTCTGGGTGCTTTCAGCATGTCCTTTTAAATCCTGCTTGCTCTGATTTTTTTTGGTGTCCTGAGAAGAATTTCACTTTTTTTTGCTAGGACATTTCATATCTTTACTTTTTATGAAAGCACATCTAAACTGAAAAACAACTTGAGCATTCTACCATAAGGCAAAATTTCCAAGGAAGCTCCTACAGGGCAAAGGTAGAGTCATGCAGTACTCCTTACAACAGGTTCGGATCCAGGGCAAGCCTCAAACTTAATTCACAGTTTAAGCCCAACCATTACTTTGTTAGCAGTATGAATGGGGTGTGAGGAAATCCTGTGGCTCTTCATAGTGCCTGTATACTACACATGGATATTTCAGTCTATTCATGGCATGAATTTTGAAAATGTTGCCATGATGTACAACTTAATTAATATATAGATAAAAACTTCTTCAGTCTTGCTCCCAAAACACATACTGGTACTATGGACTACAAAGTTCCCAGTGAATTAAAGAGTTTGGAAAGAAATGTAGGAAAAGCATTCAGAGAATTTATTGATTTTGCAAAATATCCTTTTCAGGATGGCTGTTTCTTAGGAACAATCTGTTAAAATAATCCCAAATTTGGTTGCTTTATATTCCCATGGTATATGGAAACATAAAAACCATCTATGTCAGCATGTGAATTTTAGGCTACTCAAGCTTTAAACAGAAATGTATCCTGTACTTCAGGTGTAATGCAGTTGTAAAAACACTTGCTTTCAATTTGTCAGATAACTCAGTCTGATATAACACATTTGTAATCCAAAGCATTTAGGGTTAAATATTCCACTACAGATCCATTTCTTTTTCAGGAATTGATACCAACATAAAGGACAGTTTGGGTAGAACGGTTTTGGATATACTTAAAGAGCATCCATCTCAGCAGTCTCTCCAAATTGCAGCTCTACTTCAAGGTAAGCCATATTCGATTACACAATTGTTAGAGATAATAGAGAAATATTATTGTATATAGTAATTTCTAATCTTTAAATGTTTCATTACACAAAGGAGCAGTCTTTTGATTTAAGAAGACTAGTTGAATGAAAATAAGTTGTCTAATATCTGAATTTTAAAGTAAACCCTTTCTTTTTTGCAGGCCACTGACATGGTGTGTCACTTATGCGTAGTCTTTTAACATTCTTCATTACACCATAACATATTTTAATATTTCAGTAGCAGTTCCATTAAATTGTAGTGATAACTTAGAATTGAAATACTTGATTTGTAGCAACTAAATTACTGAAAGGTGATGACAATTTTTCAAGCCATTTCATTATATTTTTTCATTTTCCTTAAATGAAAAAAAAAAAAGAACCAGGCATTTTTTCTTGTTATTATAGGAGAAATAATAAGTTTCTTGTACGTGCATTTGTTCTCATTCCCCGTCTTACTTTCATGGTGCAAGGTAGATGGAAGTTCATTGTGTACTTCAATGTTTTACTCTAGAAGATGACAGTAAAGTGATGAAACACAAATTACAACATAACTTAGTGTTAAACATAATTTCTTCTCTTCTGTGGAATTTGTTTCCTGCATCTTCAGCTTAACCTTTCATTAAGTGCATTTGACAGAGGAGGTCCCTGCAGGAATCAGTGCTGCATCTTCATCTGTATTGATTATTCCCCCCATTAAGTGAGCCATTTTAATCAGTTCTGTATTGGTTCTACACATGACAAGCTCCCTCATAACTGTATTTTATAAGAACATTTCTTGGAGAAAATGAGGTCATGTGGCCATACTGTGTCGTTTCTTTTCTGAATTACTTCCAAACTAGTTGACCAACTTCCATGAAGTTTTCCAGTAAGATGATGGACTGAAGATACAAAGCTCCTATAAGTATAATGAAAATTTTGCAGGCTGTAGGAGAGGTATTCCTGTAAGGAGCAGATTCATGTTAGAGCTGAACCAGTTAACAGATTGCCTTCAGGTCTCCCTCTCTCCCTTCCTATTTTCCTTTGCCTTTTCCCTCACTTCCCCTCTTCTCCTCCCCTACTTCCACCTACACAATTCCCTTACATATTCCCCATTTACATGAGACTTCAAAGTGACTTGATTCAGCTCACAAACTGGTAGAATACAAAATATTTATTATATATATAAAACAACAAAAAATATTAAAAATAAAGAACTGTACTTTCTGTAGTTTTAATTAGCTTGCCTCCTGTGTGATTCAGGTCTTAGAGTTACCTCTGTCCCAGGTAACTGACAGTAATGTGCATTGAAAAGTGGGGAGGAAGAGATGTGTGAGGGACACAGGGCTTCCCTTGGCAGCAGAAGGGAGTTTCTAATTTGAGTCAGACTCAAGCTTCAGCCTTTAAGTCCTCACAGAGCTGCAGCATGAACATACTACCATGTCGAGGAAAACGGGATTAATGTCATGCTGGAACTTCTTCAGTGGCAGGAAAAGGGTCAGTCAGAGCTCCCACTTTTCTTAGACATCCAAATCAATAATCCTTCAGGTATTAATCTAAGATTCATCATAAAATCCCTTCACCAACTAAGCTAATTTTAATTTTACTACCTCTTTATTGTTTCATTTTATCCTTATTGTGATAACCTTGCAGTCTCTAACCCCACTGATGAACTTTTTTTTTCAAAGTACCCTCGCTCGATGAGTAATAAAGCACCACACCTCCCTCATGGGTTTCTCATGTTGATTGATCAGTACCTGCCCTTGGTCTTTACCACACACACAGAAAAAGAAATATATTAATTTCAATCCTTTTTGTTGCTTTGACATGCAGTCTTTTTCAAAAGTGTGCCTTGAAGTATAAAAATGACTGCTTAGTAGTTTCAGCTCTTATTAGTGTGATGGAACTGTCTTGTAATGAGCAGCTGTTTATTTTTGCTCTCTGCCTATAATCAGAAGTGATGTGCAAGAATGAAACATGGTTACAAAGATGCCATTCTGACTCTTAAGACAACCTGAGGAGCTCCTTCAGAACTCACTTGGGGAACTTACATAGTTAATCATCAGCAAAATGTTCACTGAATCTTTATCCATCAAAGTATGAGCTGAAGTTGAAAGAATCAGGGTTCAGTACTAGCACTACTTATGATGCAGTTGACGTACCCTCCTCTAAAAGACAGATGACTATACTCTTCACTAAAGTGTGGGTATTTATCCTATTGTAGCTAGAAAATCAGTGAAGCACTAGAATTTTTGGAATCCTGAATGTACTATAATTGAGTTTGACTTCAGTGCATAATGAATTCCATGCTAAGAAAGGGCAATTACTAAGAGAGATTTAGTGGCTTCCAAATACATTCCTGTAAGGCTGCTGTCTTCAGACGGTTGTCTAGAGCAGCTTACACAGCTCTTTCATGTAGACTTATAGGAAATAGAAATTAATAATGTCAGACAATTACTGGTCAGATTGTTTAAGTTCCTTGCTTATTTTGTGCTTTATGCAGATGTAGTGGCATTGATTTGTTCTTTCACCTTGTTGCCAGGATAGACTAAGATGTTATCACCAGGCATTCTCATTAATTTTTTCTGGTTCCCCCTTGCACTGTTCTGAGTATCACTTTACAGTTTATAGTATTAACATAGCATAGTATTTGTCCCTGCCACAAAACATTACCTTTCAAAATATAAAACAGAGGCTGAAAGATGCATATGAACAGGCTGGCAGAAATGGGCAAGGAAATAATGTGACTGGTATTACTGGTGGGCCTGTTATGCAGAGGGATAACAGAATTGGAAGAAATGTTAAGAAAGAAAATTAGTTGGCTTTGGGGATATTTATAAGAAGCTTCTTTGAAGGAGATAAAAGGAATTTCTGTATTTAGAAGCAGTTAATGCTTCTAAATACAGAAATCCCGTGAGCTGATACTAAACCCAATAGGGCTGGTAGCCACTTGTGAATCCCGTGAGCTGATACTAAATCCCGTGAGCTGATACTAAACCCAATAGGGCTGGTAGCCACTTGTGAATAAATGCCCTCCCAGAATTTAAGAATCGTAGATAGAAATTGTTCTCAGTCTTTTAAAGAATATTCAGACAACTACTTTTTACAGATTGTAGGTTCAGAGAAACAAGGCCTTTTGCCCATGAGGTTTTAGAAGTGATCCTAGCATGCTTGTGATCCTTATTTTACATATTTTCTCACTATCCTGGGAAAAGAGCAATGGAAGTTTCTGCAAAAGTTTTTTTTTTGTGTGTGTTTGCAAAGTCTGCCATCTTTTTTGAGATGTTGGCATATTATCTGATAGAAGGAAAATAAATTAAAAGATCACTTTAAAGAGCAGCAGGAAAAAGGCTGAGTAAGCTATAGAACACCCAAATGTTTTTTTTTACTGCCTGTTAATTATAGTTGGAATTAATAGAAATACAGTTCAGGTTTTACTTCTGTGTTTTTTGTATATGTCACATCATTTTCTGTGTCTTCATCAGGTCTGATTAGCATTGGGCTCACTTAAAAATACTTATTAGGGTTTAGGTTTTTAACGTAGTAAGGAAAAAATAGCTGTATGAGTACTGTGTGCTGGGAGAGGAGAGAATTAGGATACTGTGCCAAGCAAGGCCAAGTACTGGATGCATTTCATGGGTGCAATGAAACAACAGCACTCAGTGCTGAAGCAGTTAACAGTACTGGCACTTAGGGCTTTTATAATTAGGCATTGGGGATAAAGGGATGTTGCCTAGGCTAGTAGGCCTAAAATTAAACCAACCAGCTGTGTTTTGGTTTCAGCACATGTGAATGTGACGCAGGTGCGAGCTGAACTGTCTTTCAACTCTTTCTCCACAGCCCACTGTGCTCTCTATTAGAATCTTGCTCTTTTACTATTTCTGGAAGCAGAATTCTTGTTATTGTGAAACAAAGGAGATAGTAGATAAACAGATGAAAAATGGCATGAGCCCCAGTAAATGCTGCTGCATAGACAGTATGGAGAGAGATGCAGTGAAAAACTGTTTCCTCTCTTCTGCTGAAACTGCTTAGGAACCTAACATTGTACCTGTTACCAAATTATTCGTAAATGGAAAATACATAAACAGCTGCAGAACTAGAACTCCTTTTTTTTTTTTTTTTTTTATGTATTCTCACTCTCCCTTTCTCTCCTGCTGTCTGTGGACAAGTAGATCTTCCATTCCCTTGAGTGCAGGAGGCCAGCCTCACTGGAAGAATGGAATAGGTTTTCAGTCAAGGATTTAACTACAGCTGCATGGGATGAAACTAATTGAGATCTCAATTCCCCTTCATTATTTTGGTTTTGTTTGTTTGTATTCTGGTCTTTTTGGTTTTTTAGAGTTTTAAAGAGCCTTTGGTCTTCTTAGGGAAAAATTGTTCTAGAAAGAATTCTGTATGAATCTACCTCATGGCACGGCTGAAGTAGGGTATAAAAACAAAAGAAAGCAGCTTATCCTTAATTTAAAGGAAAATAAGGATTAAAATAAATTGTTTGGGTTTTTTTATTTTCCATTAAAATAAAAAGTTTTTATTACTCTAAAAGCTAAGGTTTGTACACAAAGCAAAATTCTTAACCCTACCACCTCAGTGAGAAATTAGGATCAAAATGGAGCTGAAGTTAAAGCAAGTTGTACTTTTATACTCCTTGAAAGTTCAGGAGCAGCTCTAGCTGAGATGGGTCATGCTCTCTTCATGCTGGAGAGGCAGCTGTGTTTCTCTGCTTGTATGTTTAGTCTTTCCCATCTCTTTGGCTTTGGCCTAACCGATATTGCAGAAACTAAGAAAAGTGGAGTTCCAGCTGTTTGAACTTCCCAGAGCTTGTTCCCTTTTTGAGTAATATTCCCCACTGTTCTTATTTCCACTGCTGTGTGACCACTTTTATGGTATTACTTTTTGTGCACAGGACTCAATTTAGGTTGAGTGGGGCTTTGACAAAATCTGGTAACTACAGAAAACAATCCTACTAAACATCCCAAGTTTTTTTAACTCTTAGTATTAAGAGCTGTAGTAGTCCTCATTTAACACCGAGCTGTAAAGTTCATTCTGGGTAAGGTGAAGTAAAATGGTAAAAAGTATGAATTTGACAGGTTGTGTCCTAAACAGCCTTTACTCTCCTCTGTGGTAGGAATGATGGGTTTTTCTCTAGAGTTGTGTGAAACCACAGATGGGGAACTCTTCTGGTCATGAAGTGGCATAAGTCACTAAGCTTAGCTTTGTTCTGAATTCTATTTTTGCTTTGAGAAAAATCATCCACCCTGAGCAGTCTCTCAAGCACCCAGCAGTGAATAAGTTTGGGCAGGATTTGAAGATGGATTTCTAGCCAGCTGCAGGTGATTAGAATGCAGCTGCTGGTGAAAGCATCCAGTGTTTTGTGTGTTTTTTTCTTTAGCTCTTGATACAGATCACCTGTTTTGTGTCTTTTTCTCTGACAGTATTATGGATAAGTATACATTTACCTAGACTATAAGCCTCTTTAAACTGTGGTTCTGTCTTTGTCTTGTATGTATCTGGTAGAATTTTCAATAGTATAAAACCAAGTTAGGAGTAGTAGTCCACAAAAACCCAAAGTTTCAAGGGTTGTACCCTCACAACTTGGCATGCTGCCAGTCTGTTGTAAGCATTTTGTACCATACCTTATGAGAGCTAGCTGTAAAGGTTTCTGGAAGGAACTCTGTGTTTTTTAAAGTAAGTATTTTAGATTTATGTTGAACTTGGGATTTCCTCTTCAGAACTAGCCTCCAGGAGGTAAGTGCATTGGTCTGGAAGTGGGGACAGACAAAGAACAAAAATAGAGAATTATTTTAAAACCACAGTCTTGTATGATCATGTGGCAACAAGGTTAGAGTTCTTCACAATATCTCCTTCATTTCCTCTGCTAATTATAGCTGTAATAATCTAATAATTGTAAGGTTCACCTGATAGAATTACATTTCCTTTTGGACAGTTGCATAATTACCAAGCAAACATTTTTCATACATTAATTTGTTTTTTCTTTTCGTTTTCTTTGGTTTTGGTTTCCTTTTTATCTTCTCCCCATCTTGCACATTAACTTGAAAAGTACTATCACTGACAGAGCTGGAAAACATTCCAGAGCATTTCTCATGGTGTTAGTTTTCTCATGGACTCCTACAGTTCGTCTTTGCTCTCAGACCCACACACACACAAACACAAAATTTTCATATGATGAAATTTATGACAGATTATGCCGGGGACCACTGCCAGTCATTAAACTTAATATATGGCATTTTCAAATCATACATTTTTTAAAAAAAATACCCCAGCAATCTGCAAAGCATTTTGAAACTGCATGCTGTTCTATGCCATTTCCAATTTCAATTTCTCAGATGTCTATTTTATCACAGATTGTATTTGGGTTTTGGGATTTGTTATTTAATCATGAGTAACAGCAAGCTTAACAAGTGCATTTGTAGACTGTACAAATTAAATCAGGGAGATTTCACTTCCCAGAAACTCCTTAATCTTTCAGTATGATATTGATGAAAGACATTATTGTACTTTGGTGCTCTGTGTGTTGCAACATATGCTATTATGGTTGCTATCAGTATCACAATGAAATTATTTAAACAATTTCATAAACTCAAGAAAATGCAGATGCATAACAACTGCCCACATCGAGAACCAGTTCCTCTGTTGGAAAAAAAAAAAAGTTGCCACTGTTCCATAAATTGATTTCTTATTTATTATTGCATAGCAATTCATTAATGCTTTGGTCTTCCATTGAGGTAGCTTGTGTAGAAAAGCACATGAAAATAATGCAAATATTTATAAGAAAAAAACAGTAATGAAATTGAACTTTAGCACATTTATTATTTCATGTTTTTCTGTTTTTATAAACATTGCGAATGTGGGGCAAGGGAAGTTTTAAGGAGAAAAACCAGGAATTTCAACACACTGCTTTTTAGACTGCTATTTTAAACTAAATTTTCGGGATTGCTTTTTGTTTTTCCGCATGTACTATATCTGTGCTGCAAGCAGACTGTTTGACTCTCTTAACAATATCAGTGTTTCTGTGTACTGTGAACATCCTGAATATCTTGACAAAAAACTCTCCACAAACTTAGAATAAAAGTGTCTTTTAATTGTAATAATGTAATAGAGCAGTTATGCTGATATTTCAAGGAGAAAATAAAAATGTAGGGATAGTCTCAACTGATTGCCCTTACAATGAGATTTCTGTAGCAGTTTCCACAGGTTGGAGGACTGGCCATTTTAGTGTTTTACAGTCCTTTCAACAAATGACTGCCTTGGAGCAGTGTATATGAATATTAATTATTACAGGGTTGTAATATTAATGTTTGATGATGACAATATTAATATTCATAATAATGTTATTATGCATAATAATTATTACAGGGCTGTAATATGAAAATTTGAAAAGTCTTTAATGAAAAGCGATGTAGCAAATATACTTTTGATTGAATTAAACCCTCCTAATTCAGACTTTTAAATGTATTTGTATCTTTAACTTGCAGAATATATGGAAACAGGAAATGCAAGTATTTCAGAGGAATGTCCACTGGAATGTGCAGAACATCAGTCTTGCGTTTTGGCCCCAGAAGTTCCTCCGTCTCCAAAGGCTAAAAGTAAATACATGTACTCTGTGAATGCAAAAGTTGTATTGAATTTCTCTTTAATATTAACATTCATACAAACTTACAAAGTGGAAAAAAAATTAAGAAAGTTATTGATGTCAAGTAAGGTGATTCATGGTAGGAGAAAAACCTATTTTGACTACATACACTGTAATCCATGTCATATAGAAAAGCAAGGAACTGTATTCTCAGAAGTGACAAGTCACATTAATGGATTACAATGTACTGCATTGCTTGATCTTAAATATTTTTAGTTTATGTGACCTTATCCATTGCATAATCAAGTAAAACAAAAATGCTAAATATGTTGAAATAATCTGCAGGTATTCTTTACATTTGGGTTAAAAATTGAATTTACTTCATTTTCCCCAATGAGTGCATCTACCAATTGTTTCACATTTGGAAGCCACATTCAAAGGTCACAAATGTACTGCTCTTCCATTTGTTTTGTAACACAGCTTTCATACACTGTAGCAGTCACTTGTGTGCATGTGCTTTCATTTTATGTTCTGATTCACCATTTCCACACCACAGCCACTAAAACAGGGCATTTCCTGAGTGTGGTGTCTTTACTGAAAGTCATCCTCCTGTAGAACCAAACCTGACTTCTGCCTTCAGTAATCATCCTGAATGAATATAGTTGACTGCTGGCAAAAGTTAACTGAGTCTGTCCTTGGTTTTGTTGTGTGAGTTGTGGTGTTATTTTGCTTAGTAGTGATTTTTTTGTGTTTGTTGGGGTTTTTTGGTTGGGTTTTTTTTTGGTCTTTTTTTAACATGTTCTTTTTTTCTTTAACATGTTCACTGGGAGAGTATTTATTCATGAGAGAATGAAGCTTTCTGAGGCATGTCAGGTTATGATCTTAATGGTAATAGTGAACAAATGCTGTAGTTCCAATAATATTTCCTATTGGGGTACTTAACACATATGTGGTGTGTGAAGATAAATAGTTCCTTTGAGATTAGCAAGATTGTGAAGCCAACTGTGCAATAGAAATGTCTGTCCTGAAATTAAGGAGCAAATATTTTTAAAATATGTTTTACTTTTTAACAATAAGGTCATGATCTCACATTGCTTATTTCTTCTTAGACGGTATAAATAATGTAAAACATGCTAGGTGGCTTTTGTGTAATGTGATACTAAAGGAGAGAAATCGTACTTGATCATGCTTCCCATCCATCTGCCTGCCATTCACTGACAATCTAATTTCAGATAATTTAAACCAACTTTGGAAGAGGGATAGCAGTATCAATTACCTTTCTGTGACTTTCATGAAAATAGGGAGCTGCATAGAGGCAAAAGACCCTAATTAGTATCTGCCCAGAAAGAAATAGGCAAAATTTGTCTTTTATGTATTCTGGCTGCAGTCAGCCAGTCAACTAGTGTGCTCTACCCAGGTCGGTCCAGTTTTGTCACACAGAACTCATTCTTGCCCAGTAAGAAATACTGCAGGCTATATGTGGGAGAATGTGGGACTGGGGACATGAACATAGTTCTGTAGGAAGCAGTAGTTCTGGTTCTTTATAAAAAAAACCACTGTATCATGATTTTGGAGTAGTTTTTGATATTTAAGTATTTTACTTTCAATTTTTAGTTATAATATTAATCTAGAATAATTTCAATTTTCTAATTGAAAAGCAGAATATAAATAAACCCGGTTATAATGTTGCTTAATTTACAGGTTTTGCGCAAAGCTACCGTTGACTAAAAGTAGCAAGAGTTTTGAATGCAAAATTTCTGTTAGATTTTAAAAAGCAATTAAATGCTTTTAATTGACAACTTCTAGTCTTGTCTCTGAAAATTTTGGTAATAATTTGCCATGGTTAGACTTTAAATATATTTTTGAGTATTTGTGTTTACTTAGCATAGCAAACAGTAACTATGAAAAAAAATGAAACAAACAGAGCTCTAGACCAATCAGATACAGTTTTATCAGTGAATTATGTAGTTATGTGAGTGTACTTAAATCTGTTTTATGTATGCTGAGCTTAATGTGCTCGCTCTGTTTTTCTTTTTCAGCATTTTATTTCCAAAGATGGAGTAACATGGAAGCATCTTTATTTTATCAAGTCTAAGCAATATGACTGTTATAAACCTAGTTAAAAAATGGTGTTTTTTACTTGCTCCAGGAACCTCTTGGCCTTTTTCACTTTTCATTGCTCTTACTAAAGGTAGCTGTGTAACACACACAGTGCATAATCAGAACCCAATGTGGTTGATCATAATGAGTAGCTTTTCAGTCTGTGGAGGCCTTGCTGCTGCCAGTGGATTGTTTGCAGAATGTTTAGCACTCAGTGTGATTCTAGTACTTATTACTACTGCTATTTCCAATAGTGGTCCTCAGTATAGACATAGAAAGCCTATTGTCTTACTGTTCTGGTAGATTTCTTTAGTTAAGAAATCTGATAAATTAAGGAGAAAACATGAAACACAATGCAGAATGCACTAAATGTGGGTTTCTTCTGATAGACTGCTGTAGGAAGGCATGTTTTAAGTGTGTTTGGATTTGCCCAGTATATTCTTCCACCATTCCATGTAATCGTGGGAGAGTGAGCAAGAATTATTCATAAAGCATAGCTGCTTTGGTGAGGAAGAGATGCATTCTTAGTCACTCACAGTTTACAGAGCTTATGTAGTGTATTAATTAATTACAGCAGCAAACCTGAACCTGATGCAGAGTATGAGATATTGATTTTGTATGTGTGTATGAACTTTCCTTTCCTGGATTAATTTTACATTCTTGGATACTTGCTGTTTATATAAATTTTCAGGATTAGAAAACATAGAAAGGGTAAGTATATATTCATCCTAATTAATGCAAGGTATAGGGCAATGCAGAAGTATGTAGAATGCCTCAAGCAAATTCCTAGCCTGGAACAAGATGCTATTATTTTTGAGCAGAGAATGGTGCATGAAGATCATTGTTTAGAGGATAAGGTATGGAAATTAACAGATAATAAAGTTTAAAGAATGTGCATTTCCTTTTTAGGCATAAATTACCCCGATAATTTAATTACTGACTAATGGTGTGTCTGTTTTTAAAGGTGAAGCTGTGACTGGAGAATTATCAAAGCTCTTAGATGAAATCAAATTGTGCCAAGAAAAGGAATACTCTTTTGAAGATCTGTCTCATACACTATCAGACCATTATCTGGAAAATTTTAGTAAAGTATCAGAGGAAGATCTTATGACCAGTGGAAGCCAAACCAAGCTTAATGTAGTAAGTAAGATGGGATACAAGGACAATGTATTTAGTTACATCTGATTTATTTATAGCATATTCAAGAAAGAAATAATAAAAGAGTAAGAATAGTACAAGATTAACATTGTAATTAAAAAATATAACATGTGCTTCTTACAGATTTAAAATGTAATGTTCACTTCATTTCTCAAAGGTATTGCTTACCACACCTCAGAATGCATTTTTATGTCACCACTACTACATTCAAGTTACTTGTTTTGAGCATGGCGAAGGCAAGGAAGGGATTTTTTTTGTGAAATCAGTGGAGATCAGTATGTTCAGTACTCTGCTGAATACTAAATGTTAACAGAATCTGATCAGATATGCCCCCAAAAGATCCAGCTAAACATCCTCAGTTACTTTTCTTCTACATTTTATTACTATATAGCTTTCATGGTAGCCTAATGGTATTGAAGATTGAGTCTCTAATACAGATAATTGTGGTTGTGATACTTCAGTGACTTCCAATTATTGTTGAAGATAACTTCATTGCTATTTATATTATGAATAAAGTACTCTAGGATTCATTTTTTCTTTACTGTAACAAGGTTTTTTTTTTTTTTTTTTTTTTTACTTGAATTCTCTTCCTCAGTAGGTTTCCTGGTTTCAGCTGGTTTAGGCTTAAACTTAAACCATGACACTAAATAAATGTGATTGCTCAGGGAATAAAGCAGAGGACAAAGAAAAACTGCTAAGTTCTAAATTTCAGTTAACATTTTTTGTAAATTAAAAAATATACTTACTTATGTGAGGAAAACCATGGCAAGTTAAAGACTTTCATGGTTTGGCAGATTTATTATGACATATATAGACAAAATGAGATTTACAAAGATCCATAGCTACCCTGAAATGCAGTAGATACTTTTGTAAAGTCCTTCTAGATGTTTGAATGTTTAGATACATAACTCATATTGAACTCAATTTGAACAAGATACTATTCGCATTTAATCATTTTTAGACACTTGTCTAGTGTCTCTCTGAATTTAGGTGCTAACTGCTATTTAAATCTTCTCAGCTGCTGTTTTGCAGAAAATGTATTCCATATAAATCTGTCTGCTCAGGCCTAAATGAAGTACAATATGAATAGAAAGTATTCAGACACTAAATCTGTAATTTCCGTGACAGGGAAATATAAAGGTAAATTAGGCAATATATTTTTTAGATATTTCATATATTTTATATTGAACTAGATGTGGAAACAAATCTTCAAAACTGGGGACTGTTTGAAGCATTTTATTGTGCTTTCCTGCTGGGATATCCAGCTTTTCTTTTAGAGAAAACTGTAGTCAGGGTGATGGGTGTGCACTCCCAACATGAAGTTAGGATGGAGGGCAGAATATGTTTTCCCCTGCAGTAAACCCAGCTATACAGATCTGTATGGAGAGGGCTCTTTGCTGTGATGTGAGATTTTCCTGTTTGTTCTAAAGCATCCATTTCATTTTTTAATGTATTTCAGGGTTATTCAATTTGTTCAGTTGCTACCTGGCTGCCTTGCATAAAAAAATGAAAGTCACTTCCATTTTTGACACATCTTTTAATTTTGGGCAGGTGTTGCCTTTCCTTTGTGTTTGGACTCCCTGGGTGATAGGAAAATCCACATGCTCTATAAGGGGCCATGAAAGAGTAATTGGGAAGAAGCACTAAAGTGAAGAGATATGTTTAGCTCTGAAAATGATTGCAAAGGTGAATGCTGCCAAACTGCTCTGGGGGCAGGACCAGCAAGTGTAGTCAAGGAAGATGTGTGACATTACAGTGATGATTGAAGAAACTTAAATGAATATTTATGTATAAGAACATGAAGATACAGAGAGAAAGAAGTGAAGATGTATGTAGATGTGGAGAGTCAGAAATAGATTCCTTGGATATGTATTAAAGAGAGATTCTTTCTGCTTTTTCTGATTTAAGTTTTCTCCTCCGTGGGAAACTTCTCAATAGGTTGAGTGGGTTCTTATCTGTTTGCATTTATTAATCTCACATTTGCTTCTACTGCACATGCCAAGACCCTTTGAAAGTATGGGCAGCACAGGGCACCCACTATGGAGTATGTCTGGAGCACAGACTCTTTCTGCCTGCTAGACTGAGTGCTGTCTTTCTCAATTACAGCTCCAACAGAGGGCTGGAACCACAGCTGGTGTGTTTCCACAAAGGAGCAGTTACTTCAGGTTCATATCAGCAGATTTTTCCTAACTTTCGTTGCTGGCTGTACTAGCATCAGCTCTGAAGAGGGGTAGAAGTTAGCTCCCTGTTGATAATGTGTTAGGTGGTGCCATTTCCTGAGCTAATGTTGATGACTGTTGAAGGCTTTCCAAGTTCATGTAGTTCTGCAACCTGAAAAGTTTCCAAATCCCAAGTCATGCCACTTTGTGACCCTTAGGAAGATTCTGCAAAGGCACTGGCTACTTGGAGACATCTGAATTTTTTGCATCATGCTATTGTTCAGAGAAATAGGGGGCCAAGACTGGGGAATTTCTGATTTGAATACTAACTTGTGGATCATAAACGTAGGAAGCTGGAAAAAGGAGCATCAGGAGCCACCTCCTGAGGATAGCATAGGCTTGGGAAAGAGAAGGCATCAGGAAGCAGCGTGTAATTCAAAGCATTTTTTTTTAACAATTGGCTCTTTTCAAGAGGGCCAAAACTGCTGTGACTAAATGAGGTTGTGGTTGATTTGGGACTGCAGAAAGGAGTGTCTGTCTACCCAGAATGCACAGCCTGGAATTCTGTCCTGAATTTTAACTGCCAACCTCTATTGTTTGAAACAGTGGGTCTCACTGTTTTTGTTTAGTGTAAGGGTAGTGTTAGTGCCTGTTTTTTAATACAATAACTTCACAGTAAAGGCTTCATCTGGAAACTGGTGCTCAATTCTGTCCATGGCATAGGGGTGAGTTTCAACATTTAATATAGTTTTATAGGTTTTATAGTCTCCCAGATAAAGTATGGATCATCAGGCTGTGATCCCTTCTAGTATTGTTTCTACATTCTACAGTCACTGGTAAAATACCAGTGCAATCTGGAGAGCAGGACTTTGGAGGCCTTGTTCACACGCACATTCTCTTCCATTTCTGGTCTTAGGCATCTTGCATGGTTTGTTGCTCAATGATACATTGAGCAACATTGATACAATGATACAGCACTTGTAGAATTCTATACTTTATTTGAAAGAAGTGAGTTGGAAGTCTTTTAGGTCAAGGACAGAATTGAATCCATTCCTCCCTTTGCTGTGTTATTAGACAGGTAGTCATCCAACAACATAACTGGAATGTTTGTAGTAAGGAACTACTTCTTTTAATCAAATTTTGTTTTGAAAACAATACATGTTTTTATTGCATTATATGTTTCTATTGGCCAGGTGTGATTTGTGACAAGACATTAAAACCTCAGAGATTTATGTGCTTACAGTATTTTCATGTCAAATAGGAAGCAGAGTTTACACAGCTCTGAGGTTAGGTTAAAAAAAAGAAAAAAGAAACTGTTTGGTTTAGTCTTCTAAGTTCCAAATTACTAATCAGCTTTGACTCTTAAATTTCCTTGGGAGGAAATGGAGGAGCTGACTAGGAAAATTGATGGTGAGGATCATAGGGGCTGGAAGGCATAACATCTGGGAGAGAGAGAGTACAATGGAGCAGTAACTAGAAGTAAGGACAGTAACAGTAGACCCATAGCGTAGACATGAATAGGAACAGATCTGGAGATGAGTGAAAATGTCCCCATAGGATGCTTCCCCTCCAGAAGTTGAAAGGGGAACTATGACAGAAGAACAGATTGTCTTAACTTTCTGAATGGGACAGAATGATTAATGAAGAGGGAGGAAAAGACTGAATGCTGAACAGCAGAAAGTCAGATGAGAGTAAGTTAATGTTATCTTTCAATTTGAAGGGTACATTATTAAACTAAAAGAAGTCAAAGCTGCACTGGAAATGTCATAATTTAAAGGTTTTCTTTTGCCGCTCTGGCTGTGTTTGGTGTGCTGTCGTGCAAAATATTCATGCCATGTTTCCTAGTCTGCCTTTGCCAATCATTAAAACATGTCCATTACAACACAGCATGCAACGAGCCCCTGTTCATTGTCTCCAGAAAATTGAAGGCCAGATTGAACACAGTTTTGCAATTCTACTTCAGGGAGAGCTCCAAAAGGCGTTCATACAGCTATGCATCATTTTAGTTGTAATTCCTAGTATTTCTTAATGATTTGTATGCTGGGTGAAGTTGATGGTCGATTCATAGATTTGTGCCTCCAGTTCCTGTCTTTGTTTTTTCCCGTTTTGGTCACTGTGACTTGAATGAACTTTTTAGTTGACCTATGTATGCAAAGGCATGGAAAGCCCTGACTGGTGCTGCACAGGCAAGCTTGGGAAGCTTTATACTTGTGTATTGCTCAGTGCTGACATATTACAGTTTTTCTTTGTTCCCTAGATAAAAATCTTTCAAAAAAACTAGAATTTGATTGTTCAGCGAGTCAGAAAAGCAACTGTGCTTCAAAACATATTTCAGAAAACATGAGGTGGAAAAAAATATAGTAAAGTCCTTGATTTTTATCTCAGTTCATTTGAAAAGGTGTTTCCTTTTCAAGCTGAATTAAGTGTGATTGCAGTTTCAGGTTTGTTTTTTTAAGTATAATTAAAAAAAAATATTTATTTTCCAATAGATGGCAGTCTGGTTCAGTAATTTCAAGAACAAAAGCAACCATCTTATATAAGATTTTTCCAACATTTTTCATCGCTGTGTTAAAATTGTGTGTTTTAACACAGTTGATAGTCCAAACTGCTTCAAAAAGAACACCTTAAGTTCCTCTAGGAGAAAAATGTATGGAACATCATGACATACATTTAAACTACAAACTAAAACATCGGGACTAAATTTAGAAGTGTATCATGGCAAAGAGGTTACACACCAAGTGTGCATTCAAACGATCTGTGTGAACTGAAGAGCAAGCAAGAAAATTTAAATAGGTATAATGTACAAAGCAGGGATGTGGAAAA